GTAGATGTTTCAAATTTTTATATTAACTCCTATCCGTATTTAGAGGGTGTCACGAAATGAACTCAACTTTGAAATGATTTTCAAATATTTACAATCTCATCTTAATTGATAAGAAAGCGATTCTGCATTATCAAACCAAATCATGTCTTGTACGCATTGCAAGGCAACATTTATCAGCAGGCAATTGATAGAAATTCGCCGCTAAAGTTGGACGACTTACTCGATATCGTTGAACTTTTTGATTTATTAATGTGAAAAAGAAGAAAGGATTTTAAGGAAATCTTGCTGCAGTGTTTCATTTATATCACTTGATTTTGAAAGTATTAGTAGTAGTAAGAAAGGAAATATCATAGCCCGCCAAGCCACTTGCAATATTCAAGGAAATGTGGACAGGCACAGGGACAGGGACATAGATTAGAGGTGAATTTATTAATGCCTGTCACTGCCTTTTACCCGATAATTGATTGCTTAGATCCACGTTCGATCGTACGTTCAATATCGTATCTTACATGGCTTCCGAATATTTCAAATAACACTTTTACACATTGCTGCATGGTCCGTATTGCATAGGTTATGGCACAAATTAAATGCTGCTGGCTATAATAAACGATAAATGATTTTTTGGTAATTATAAGCGATTTAGTCGATTTTCGAACTTTACAGAGAATTTCATTATTGAAAAGATTTCTCATTCTGAGCTGCAGCAATTACAACTTGAGATTACAATTTAGGGAAAAAGAGTCAAATTATTTTTTTACTTTTTTTGTTTTTTTGCAATTATGGATTCATTCGCAAATATTTAAAAAAAAAAAAAAAAAAAAAAAAAAAAAACTACTAACAAGAACATTGAGAAGCAGCTTTTTCCTCGCAAAGAAATGAAGGACAGACAGACAGATTGACATTCTACTTTACCTTCAGGCTGATCATGAGTACATTTATTTGATGGGATGTTCATAAAAATTGTATATATTTCCGATGCTGAAAATCAATAGAAAATATATATATATATATATATTTTATGAGAAATCTTACAAAGGATAGCGTATTTTGTAATGTCATTTATATGCTGAACGTAGGTATAAATTTTATGAAAGGCAATATATTGCATCTCGATGGTAGTGATCTTTTATTATCATTCATTATTCATTATATGTATGTGTGTGTATTGAGATTGAAGAAAGAAAAGAATTCATACGAAATGTTCTCCTCGCACACAAACTCAATTTGTTTATGCTTGTAATCATATTAGAGAACATGTAACCGGTAACCAAGAACAAGACAAATTAACTAAATTCATCTTATGTAGATAGTATATTTTTTCTTCTTCTTGTTCAGTTATTATTCATTCTTCGTTCAAATTTTCGAAGAAAATCTAAATCAAACATGTAAACGTTAATGGTAAGTTTATGCCGCTTAGAGAGCAATGAATTTAAGCAGAGATAATTTGTTAACGACACTACCGCGCATCATCGCCGCTGCCAGCATAGGACTATAGCATTAAAAATATCAACAGCACTGTAATGATTAACAAATTGTTTGTTGTCTGTTTGTTTATTTGTTTATTTGTGCATACAATCGGCAACAGCTCGAAAGTATGCGCCAACGTGACTTTTTCTCTTTTGTTCTTCAAGTCAAGTTTTTCTTCTTTTTTTTTTTTTTTTGTTGGTTTTTTTGTTTTTGTATTTGCTTTTGTTATTGTTTTACGCGGCTGGTTGATGATGGTTATGATGGTATTCTTTTATAGCCAAAGTTGAGTGCACATCATCGTCATTCTACTTACTTTTGTATTGTGATTGCATTACACACACTTACACTCAGCTAAATTCAATTGCGGCAAATGTGTGTACTTTTGTATTTAGTTTAGTTTTAATTTGTTTTTTTTTTTTTATTTTTTAAAATTTTTTTTATTCCATTTTTTTTATTTTCATCCATTGTCTATGTATTTTAATATTTGCACAAGCAGCACCACATCTATATACTTATTTATATACACATAAACATGTGCTAGATACTGAAGAAGGTTAGGGTAGTTGGCATTGCTTAATACAATACACACATACGCGCATATATACAATAGTAATTTTGTGTACATAACATATTTTTTTTTTTTTTAAATTATTTTCTGTTTAAGACAGCAAATCATGCGAGGAAGTTGCGTATATTTGTATGTTTGTGCTGTTTTTCTTTCTCATTTTTCATATTTATTTTCATTTTTATTTTATCTTTTTTTTGTTTCTTTGTGTTTGCGTATATTTGAGTTGTTATGGTTTTTTTTTTTTTTTTTTTCTTTTTTTTTAATTGTCTTTATTAGTATTTACTCTAATCTTATAATTAAACATTTACTTAATAATTAATTTATTGCATTTATTTCTCATTTATTATGCTGCCTGAAATAAACCCAAACAACTGTTTTTTATCTCCGAGAGCGATTGTGGTTTCTTTTTTGACGGTGATTAAGTTTCAATTAACAATTTTATTTATTATATAAGCAATTAATTACGAAATTTGAAGGGAAGTTGCGCTATTATGCAAGATATTTATTCACATGCATATAAATAATTTTACTAAAAGCTTTATCGTTTGCTTTGAATAGCATTTTAAATCATTCCTAGCGCACAGCTATGTGGCAGGCGTTCGTTTGAGATCAAAGGGAACGAACTAACTAAGCGCCAATTACTTTTTCTTTAAAAATGTTGTTTGTTTGAAGAGAGCGATTTTGGCGAAAGTCAACTATTGGTAATAAACGTTGGAAAAAAAACAGAGGAACCCCTCTAAACGTGAAACCAAAATGATCGTCAAATGATCCGAGTGTAGAAGAAAATATAATGCGAACACTAAGACTTACGAGTCCCTTTAATTGTTCGAGACTCAAGCGTTCATCCCTTGCTTCCGCTATTAGATCCATCTCTGGAAAGTTCTAAATCATTATCATCAAATGACGGCAAAGGATATCTATAGGTGACCGTGACTTCCCAACTAAGGGACACTTTAAGTTTTTGAACAAATAAACAAGGAAACCCACTCATAAGTAATGCATTTTAAATAATCTCCAACCACAAAGATTTTTCACCACATTTCTCCTTTGACTAATCGAAACTTAGGGCCGATTTCTGGCAGTATTTTTATGAATAAAAATACCTACAATCTATTCTCATTCTCATTTTCTCTACCAGGCTATTGCTTAAGTTATTCTTGCAGAGAGAGGCTGTCATAACAAGCCCGGATGGGAAAAGCAATCTCAGTATTCCTCAATCTTTGTCAAATGGCGCAAATGAAAGACAGACGTTTATAGAAGAGATTAAATATATATATATTAATAAAACGCGGAAGGCAAATTTTCTTACTCTATAATATTAGATAGGCGTGGTTAATTTTTTTTTTTATATTTCTAGTACATATATGGGGAAATTTTTATCGTGGATCTATTGCTGTTTATGACTAACATAACAGAAAACGCAGAAAGCAGATATGCTCTTAGCTTGTATGCAGTTGTAGGCGTGTCATTTGATCGATTTAGCCCATTTCCAATATCAGTCTGCCTGCGTGAGATTTCATTAGCTCTAATAGCCACATTTGAGACCGATATCGTAATTTTTGCGGCCAGGAGAATGTTTACCGCAGATAATGCGCAGACGGACAGACGGATATGCTAAAATGGATTCAAATATTGATACTGATCAAAAATGTAAACATTTTATACGCCCGAGTGGCCGAAAAGGCAAGAATCGCGGCTACCAAGTCAATTTCCGCGAATGCAAACCTCAGTGCGATAAACTTTACTTTGGCCGTAGTTGTAGTGAGCGCTCAGTCGGCAAAGGCGCATCCACTAAGCTGCGGCCACGACCACCCTATTACATAATCTCTTTTCTCACATCCTCTCTGACCATCATCATGCCAGGCGAATACGTAACATCTCCTGAGTGATTCGCCAAAAAGCAAAAAAAAAAAAAGGCTTTTATAAGTACTTCTGGCCATCCTTTGATGTTGGCCAAAAAAAGAAATAGAAAGCGGTACCCCAAGTAATCGCTTTTCAAAAATTAATCTTACACTGAAAGCAACTATCAATGATTGCGAAAAGCTAGAGATTTTCCCGAGACTTTGTATCACTAACGAATTAACAGACTTGGATTTTAAATGTCGGTTCGGAATTTGCCCAAGTATTAGTAAGTTTCTGAATAAAGCCCCACCTGCTGCTCTACAATATAGACTTTGCCTGAAATAATCAATTTTATCGATGCGGAAATCCACTGTGTTTGGCTCTAACAATTAATTGTTTCATTGGGCCTTATTTAGGATTCAATTCAATTATGTTTAGAGGAAGTCTACAAGACTACAATTACATCATAGCCATGTCATAGCAATTAATCAATAAAAAAGCCAGTTGAACTTTCGAATTTTATTTCTTTTCTTTTTTTTCTATTCTCATTACATTGTCATATAAGTTTTTTATGCACTAAATTATTGTTTATCATATTTTCACCGTCAAAGTCAAGCATTATTGTTTGCATTGACAGCAAAGGTGTTCAACAAACTACTCACAAAGTTGCTTTCAATTTATTTACACATAAAAAAGATATCATCGACAAAAGGGTAATAACTTACAACGTAAAGGACAACACGTAACTGCCTGCATAAGCTTCGCATGCTATTGTCTTATTGTTGACAATAAAATCCGGTTCCCTACACACAATGCATATTTTCCCTTGGCGAGCACATGTAAACGTATAAAAAGAAAAAAAAAGAAAAAAAAAAAAAAAAACAGAAACTTTTAAAAGATCATTACTTTAACTGTCTATATGACCTTAAATATAAGCAATAGTCTGTGTTTGTGCGAAGATCCGCTTATATATATACATATATATATATATATATATATATATAATCATCACCTCAAGTAAAAACGTTTCCATGTTGTTTATTTATACGATTTAACGATAAGTTATAATTATTTCCGTAATCATATGAAAATTGATCAGTTCGCTTTATTATAAATAACTTACCTGCGCCGCCATCGATTTCATTCTCTTTGGGATCGCGTTGAAAGATATCGTTATTATAGTATTGATCGTATTGCTCAGATTCAACGCTCTGCAATGCTTCCTGTACATCATGCTCAACATCATCTTCGATATCATATGGTAGAAGAAAGCCTCTCCCTCCCGACCATTCGTTGTTGTAATAAAACGTATGATTATCTTGATTCTTGTATTTATTGCTATATGTTATGGTGGCAGGTTGCTCGGTAACATCTTCATCTTCGTTTAAATTTTCCGTCAAACGTTGCTGACTTGATTGTTTTTCAATATCTTGTTCTTCTTCTTTATCTTGTGTTTCGATCTTATTCATATTATATTTACGTCTGGTGGAATTTTTCAATTTTTGACCATAAGTTTTACGTCGCGTATTATTGCTACTGGCCAAGCCTCGCTTATATGTCGGCGATGTTGCAATACTGATTGCCCTTGGCGATGTAGTAGAAGTGATTGCCTTTGGCAATATTTCCGCAATGGACGGTACTTTCTGTTTAACATTGCTAAACGGAAATAAACGACGTTCTATATAATGGGTTAGGATCTGCTGAGTTATTTGATTTTGACGTGCGATTTCAGTCGGATCCAATTCAAATGCTGAGTCTGTAAACAAAATTAAATTTGTATTAAAATGTACAGATTTTCAAAATTTATGAAAAATTAAAGTAAAATTTTCACATTTCAAATTTCTATTAAAAAAAAAAACGAAAATTTTTTTAATTTATTACTTACTGCACACAAACAAATGCTCTTCGAACAGCATAAAAAGAGAATGAAAAGAAAAAACCAAAACTGGAATAACGTTTTGGTTTAGATAAGCATTACATTCTTACAATATTTACATCTACAATGGAATTTCAAAGCCATTTTTATTTTAATCACCTAATGTCTAAACGATTCACGTTTATTTATTGTTCAATAATACCGGTAGTCTTCGTAAATCGTGGAATATTGAAATTTCAAAATTGCCGTAAGGGAAAATCTAAACTTTAAACGATTAACAATATCACCAATAGATTGGAACTTATCTGGAGAGTCATCTTCAGCTGACTTTTCGCACATGTTATTATCTTGAGAAAAACGCGCTCACCCACGTCTAGACGACAACACATAAGAAAATGATTGACGATTTCGAAAGAAAAATGTCTTTAAAAAATATTATTATTATTATTATTATTATTATTATAATTTTAGGCTAATGAAATAAATTCTTAGGCTAAAAGAAAAGAAAGAAGACATTGAGCCCTGGCGACATAGGCTATTGGCTCTAATTTATAAAAGTACAGTAGATATTGAGCCTAGTAGGATTAATAAAGTAATATCGATATTGTATTGAGATTCTGTCTTGTAGCTGATTTTAGAATGTCCGTAGGATTAGTCGCGCCAAATGCAATAATTTCTAGCCAAGGGAAAGTTAAGGCAGTCACAGAGAATGTGCTTTGTAGCGAGAATTTGTCCGCAATTGTAGATTGGCGAAGAAGACCTCTTTAAAATCCATTGGCGAATTGCGATTGCGTGGCCAAAGCGATTTCTCGAAAATGCTTGGATCTTCATTTTCTCAACATTTGCTGGATATAAAGGTGGAATTAATTGGGGGTTAACAAAAGAGTAGTGCTGATGGTGATATGGTAGATTCCCTTCCGTAATTTTCACTATTTAACTTTTCTTCTTTTTTTAAAAAATTATTCACTATTATCATAATTTTATCGCATAGCTAAAAAAATTTCATTTATATATATATATATATATATATATATATACATATATATACATACATATAGAAAGTTTACCTGTTAAATCAATGTAAACTGTTTTCATTCCCATTTACAACAATACGTTATTCTATTTTTACTAAATCTTACCTCATACATATATATATATATAGATATATATATATATATTTGTATACATAAAAATACAAAACAAAAGAATTATAAATCACGTTGATCCCAGATCGCGGTTTCCGAAATTTTTCTCAATCGTTCCTTTTGTAGGCATTATAATCAAAGCGTTGCCACTTAGTGCTTTGCTTACTTGACTACAGAGAATGCATGATACTCACTAAATTATTTCAATTTGTCTACGGTATTAAGATTTCCGTATTTTGATAGCATTCTACTGAATTTCAGTCCAGCATTCAGTCCACATTCAATGTTTTGCTTTGTTTAAGGCTACATACTATCATTGTAGTTCTTGCGAAAACCTGACTGATGACTTGTGTTCCTCACATGCATCACTGAACAAAGTCCGAGCAATGATAGTGGATTTGCCGTTTTTTGTCTGGTCAATCTTAACCGCCGCCAATGATAGAAATATCATCAAAACTTATTCTCTACGCCTCCGTTAGCTAATTAATGGAGCAATCATACTACTTTATTCGTAACATTCTCGTTGATATCGTAATGATGAGATTTTCGCGCTAGACGCTTTTTTTATAGCTAAAAAGCCACTGATATTATTAGGATTTATTTTTGAATTCAAAAGAGGTTTTTTTGAATTAACTTGGGGCAAAACAAAAGATGGTTCGCTAAAATGTATTGGTAAAGACCGTAACTCGATCAGCCTATGAAAAATGTGTGAAGAAATGATTCAAGCCCTGACGTATTTCTATTACATGCCACCTAATGTCCACTGTCGGGTATCAAAAACTATATTACATATAGAATGTATCATTTTCTCAGCTACTGAACTTGTTTGAGAGTCAGACCACTTCACAGGTTCTCGCTTAGACGCTGATTATGCTTTGCACGACTTGCAAACCGTTTTTTCCTTTTAAAGAACTTAATAATTGGATCATTTTTAATATTTATTCGGAGTAAACTCATCTATGAGAAACATTGAAGTAATTTTATCGGGACATTTTTATCCTATTCTGAATTATACGAATATCGTTCATTTACCCATAATGGGCATTATCACCCTGAAACATTAAAAATTTAATTAAATCATACCGCTTTCATACCTTATGCCATTGGTAAGTTTGTGCGGATATACAACTGAAACTGATTTTGTATTAACATAAGAAGCTGTCCGTCCGTCCGTCCATCCGTCCGTCCGTCTGTCTTGTTTTTTTTATGTTCAACCTATAAATCGCAATTTTTAAGATATATTGACTAAATCTGATAGATTGATCTATTTTAACCCAAGGACGAACGCTATTGACTGCTGAAACTTCTTCACAAACGATAATAAATGTAAATTAAAGGACCCTCTACTATATAAATCAATTACACTACGCTCTACTATATAAATCATGAACACTTGAACAAGCTCGGATGAGATTTTGTCAGATTTCTATAATGACGGCAACGAGATTTCTCTGAAAATGATTTATTCTAATAGTAATTGCTAAGCGTAATATTATAAAGTATTCGAACGAATTCACAGCTTTTAAGGACTTAATGCATATACACAGACGGATAATGGTGGACCTTATGTGATATATTTATAATAATTTCAATATAAAGATAACGAAATTCGCTTGAATAATGTGAAGAAAAGAGCAAAACTAATTTGTATAACGAAATGAATAAATGAAGAAGTCTTACGCAAACGGCAAATATATATAGTTATGCAACTAAATATAAATCCAAGTCGGTCTGAATAATCGGAAAATAAAAATATATCGTTGAAGGAAGATAGACTCATAAAATTAGAAGCTTATAAATGCAATTATAAAGTAAAAATTTTAACAGGATGATGTTGAAAGCATACCTTGCAAGCCTCGTTTCTATATAGGAATTTTTTAGGAATGAAGGCCAATAAACGAATTGCATAAATGAATTTGTTTTTGAAAAAATATCATAGACTGAGAGAAAATTTGCCGATCTTAGAGGCATTACTATTACTAGAGAAATGAATATATCCAGATCAAAAATTTACACTGACATCTACACGAATAGAAGTGGACGGAAAGATGAACGAATGAAGTAATTAAGTCAATTTGATAACGACTGTTAAAATCGAAGTTTGAACTCTAACCGCCTGTGGCTAACGACTACTATTCACATTTGGAATAATTTCGCGCACCTTTTTCACAGTGCGACAAATGAACACAATGAATGCATTTGCATCGTGCATCATGCAAAATATTTTCTTTACATGATTTTTGCTTCAGCATTGCAACGAAAGATACATACAAACACATACAATTAAATTATATTTTAAATATTTGAGTTCGTAAGACACAATCCAAATGTATTCATTGTATTTGACGCTCAAGGTCTGCGAGTTTGTGGGTCTTTCCGAAAACAATATATTAACTCGCCGCGTAGTTCTTGCGTGAATTTTCACTTGATGTTCATGTCACTTCATCTTGAAGTTTTTTGCATAAATATATCGAGAAATTATTTTAAAAATTTTCCTTGAGCCGATTTAAACTTTGTTCAGGAATGACCGCTGACTAGAGTTTGACGTTTAATCTTTCGATCGAGAAATTTATCATTCGGCCTTATTGGTATTTTTGCCGCGTTCTACATGGAAGGCCCACAATAAATTCACATAGTTGTCTATGACTTATCCAATCCAGAAATAATGCCCAGCATTTACTCTATGAATCAAAATAATAATGCCAATAATAAACAATACGTGAGCCATCACCTACCATCATTATATATTCTATACCGCCTCACAGTTACTCATATTATATAACGACTTTTCAAAATAGAGCATTACATGAGAAATGATTGGGAAAGTAATTCCTACCGCATCACTTTCAATAACGTTCGTCCTTGGGTCAAAACATGTCTGTGTACGAAATTTCATTGAAATATTTAAAAAATAAATTATGGCCTATAGGTTGAAAATATAAAAACAAGGCGGACAAACGGACAGACAAGCTTAGATCGTTGGATTAAGAGGTGGATCTATCTCAAGTGCTTCTGAATATTGTATACATTTCCTTAAAATGAATATACCCTTGAAACACAAGTGGTATAGATCATGTGATCAAACATATTTTATTGTAGAAGATATGCAAAAGGAATTATGGGATAAAAATCAGTAAAATGGTTATAATAGTCATTGACGAGCGAGCGGTGAGCAACATTTAAGAAACTCTGACTCTACTTTTTACGCTTTATACATTATAATCTCGTTATATCGATCAACACGGTAGACAATTATATTTATTTTCAAGCATCTACCAAATAAAATAATACCGTGACGTTGAATCAATGCAAAAGTAATACAAAACGTGAACATATTACATATTTTTTCATACGGCAACCGCTATGTCAAGCCGAATCAAATACAATACGTAGTTGTCACAGTAAAATTTATATATATATATATATATATGCAAAATTTAAACATCAAGGTTTTGAAATTAATAATAAAAAAAAAAAAAAAAAAAGATTAGTAAAAATAAAACTTTGTATAAAACCACCAAATCTAGGCCTATAATTTGTAAACAATTCAAACAAGAATTTTAAGAATGTGGTTTATGTAACACATGCTAAATAAACTCATTTCTATGCGCATATAAGCGCATTGATATGCAAAGCATACACAACTGGGTGTTAAATCATTTCAAAACAAGTACACGTAGCTGCTTTACAAGAACACTAATATAAATATAATTATAATTATAAAGCGTAGTGGAA